TTTCTAAGCTAACCGGTTGCATCACTGATTAAATGGACTTCAGTGCATACAACAAAATGAATGCATCACCCTTCATACAGCCACAGCGTTCAGCTGTGATTCTGATTCTGATTGATTAACCCTCGGCCGGAGGAGGGATATGAGAGTAGGTAGAAGCAGAGACTGGTGACTGAAAGAGAAGGAAAGGTTAATAAGAAAGGGAAGTTCCCAACATAATTGGACTTTTTTCTGTGTTTTCTCTTCCTGTCTGGATTAAAGGAGGGAGTCAGGCAGGATTTGGGACACATGGTAATTATCCCATCTGAGATCCCATCTGCGACCCCCCCTTGTCCCCAGCCTGTTTCCTAAACCCTCCCCAGCCCTCTCAGCTTAAGCAGGATTGTCTTTCTCTGCTCCAGAGTCTCCGAGGTCACAAAAAACAAGCCTGGCTTGTGTGTCACAACAACAAAGGATTTCAAATGAAGAAGCAGATACCTTGTAATTCCCTGTGAGAGCAGCCTGCACTTGTTTTGCAGCCTTCACAATTTCAGGAATGCTTGAGTTTTGTATTTTGTCTGGGTTTTGTTTCTTGCCTGATGTACTTAAAAACTTTGAGTGCCTCATTTGACATATCAGGTTTCATTTCATCTGGACACAAAAGACAGAAACATTGTGGCTTCAATTTCAACAATACAGAAGGTCTAGCTTGTTTCTTCATCACGCATTAACACTTACTACTGTCATAAAAAAAAACTTTTATTGGTCAGCTTAAATATGTCAGTAGAATTAGACTTGACTGTGATAATTAAAAAGTATTGTAAAGTATAAGCTGGTAACTCTTTTAGCTTATTGTTGTAAGTAATGAGTTACTGGGGTTTGGGACTGTTTTTCCCATTCATCTTCCTGATGAATTAACGAGCTACAAAGACCATATCAAATACAAATCAGGCAAATGTGATGGTTAAACCTTTTCTGCAGTGTTATTGCATTTTAATGATAGAAGCATTTTCACCATTTGCATGTTTCTGACCATATAAATGTAAATTAATTTTCATACTATTTGAAGAGCTTTTTCTAATAAGAAGCATCATAGAGGCAGCTGTGGCTTAGAGGCACAGCCGGTCCATCCCCAGCCCATCCCCGGCCCATCCTCCAGTCTACATATCGTAGTGTCCTGAACCTAAAGTTGCCGTGAGTGTGTGAGGGACTGTATGATTAGTTTCTTTCAACTTTCACAGCTGACACAGTGTATGGCAGCCTCTGCGATCATTGTGTGATTTTATGTGAATGGGTGAATGTGATGTAGTGTAAAGCTTTGAGCACTAAGAAGACTAGAGCTAGGAGCTGTACAGAACATTTGCTATTTTATTCTATTTTTTTTTTTATCTTAGTAGCTTTGGCCAGTGAAAGCTTTAGGTACTGTATATTAGTCAAAACTACATCAATAATAGCTAGGTTATAAAGTACCAATTATCAGTTTTCTGCTCTCCTAGCCTTTTGTGGTCCCTGAAACACTCTTTACTTCATCACAAGTGCATCCCTTACTTATGCAGGCTACAGTAACTGGACTGGGAGCCATTAGACTCCTAGTCGCTTCTTGGCTGCATGCAATAAACAGAACAAAGTTTCAACATAACGGATGCCCCTCAGATAATAATAGCACCTACAGAAAAGCAAGGGATTGATTTTAGCTCACCTTTTCCCCAAATGTGGAGGCCCTGCACCTGTCTGCTCCTGAGTAATGACACATAGGGTCTTATCCTGACAACTATGTCATATTTTTATCATCAGTATGTCAATTTCATACATTTCAAAAATGAAGAGCATATTGAGGCATAGTGGATCCAAACCCTGTGTCCCTGTGTAGCACAGATTTAACTATTGAAACACTGCTGTTCACTCACTTTCCCTACTCTCCAACATTAGAATTATTTTGTGTGTGTCATTAAGTGTTTGGCCTTCCTCATTCATCACCGGACTTACCTCCTGCACTGAATTACTGTGTAAGTGTCACTTTAGATGAAAAATGTAATATTATGGAATCTGACCACTCTTTTAACAACTGTTGGATTAGTGATGTCGCTGTGATCCCAGATCACCGCATTTATTTTAATGAGACTGGTGTTATTGTAGCATAGAAAATTTGCCCTAAAATGGGGACAAAGACCCAAGTTGAATGAAACCAGAACCGTCCTGTAGGTTTCAGCTCTCTCATGCTCACTCAATTGTGCTTGCCCACTCATGTCCTGCATTTTTTTCTTTTTCTTTATAGTTGTGTACTCAGTCAAATGTTTTTTAAGCACAAAATACCATTAACAAGGCACCCTTCTGATCTAAAAGGCATCCCTAACTGCTCAGGATGCCTGACTATGCGGCAATTCAGTTTTATCTATTATCTCATTGCACTTTTCATGTAGAGAAGTCTAGACTGTACTCTTTGTAATACAGTTAATAAAACATTGTTCTTAATTCCTCTAACATTTGTCCTCAATAACTGCATGTGTATGTTTTGCGCTTATGTGTGTGTGTAAAAAATAATAATGGAGTGAAAAATTTTTATTTGCCATCAAGGGATTGATAATTAATTCATTTAATTAATAAAATAATTCCCCTTCTTCTTCAAATCTGCAGCTGCAGCAGAGAAGAAGCTGCTGGTGCATCTGCTAATCACTGGTGTAATGCACCACAAGAGGTGCATGAAACCAGGGGGTCCGTGGAAAGGATGTGATGTTAGAACCATCTGACAGACTGTCGACAGACTGAAACAGACTGAAATGCATCTGCTGTCTGCTTCCTTTAGTTATGCTCATACCACATTCCATGACTTTTACATGTGATGATGTAAAATGATCTGTTTAAAGGTGATCCTTAGAGCTCAGTAGCCACGGTGGACATCATCCTCTGGGCAGATTGTTCAGTCTCAGTATGTGCTGGCTCTGTACCAAGTGAAAAGAAAAAGCACTGTTAATGTCTTTCTTTATGTTGCTGTTATTTATCCAGCTGACAAACCAGATCCAGCAGGCTGCTTTCTGGGACATCTGGGAGTCTGCTGCAAAGATTCAGCTCATGTGGATAAGTCATGAATCATATACCGACACTAAAATAGAACAAGTCACAAGTCACTGTCAATACTGAACTCCTCTTTTTCCACTTCACACTCTGTAAAAAACATCTGTCAAAATCAAACTTCCCAACATGTCCACAGTCTTCACTGTATTCATGGAACATGTGAAAGAGTAGCTCCTGATGGATCCTGATGCATTTAGGACGAACTCAAAATATCAGTAGCAGTTCTAACTTGACCCTTGGGCCCTCGCACTTGTAGCGCGTCCGCGTGTGAGCCGGCCGAGTTGCACATTCTGGAGCTCTGCCGGTGCGGCTGTGAATTTGCTACGTTGTTCCGACGCCGCATGAAGGTGTTATATGTCACTTCCTGTGTCCCCTATGTGGAGCTACATAACACTTGCCGCTATGAATATAAATCGGTATTGGTGTGTAGATGTCTTCGGGGTGGGAGAGTTATCACGCACGTAAAGTTTGTTTCAGATGTGAGCATGTACACTGAACAATAATGTACCCAAACAATAAAATAAATTCCTTTTATATTTCCCTGCCTTGTTGTTTATGTGTACATACAGAGGAAGAATGTGAGAACTTCATCGTTACTGTGTGTTAGAGCAAACTGAAAGCACTGTCTGTCGGAGCGTCTACATGAAAAGAGAAGGCAGAGTTGTTAAACACCTCAGCGCACTGAAGGAAGCCATCTGACTGTGTGAGGGGCAAGATCGTTGATGTCTGCAGGCAGAGTAGGCCTAGAGCTCTCCTGTCTGACTGGTCCACCAATAGCAGAGAAGATGACCCCTTGAGACACAGCCCCTCCTCATTTGCATAATGAGGCAGAAATGCATACAGAAATTTAAAAAGGACAGGCAGAAATAAATACCATGGGTGAAAATAAATAAGGTAAAAAAAATACAAAGGAAGAATAAAACAGACAAAAATATTAAAACACACACATAAATAAACACATTTAAAAAAAAATTAGTAATAAATAAAGTTGAAGAGTATAACGGAGAATAAATAAATAAGGTAATTATAACAAAGGTGAATAAGTAAAGGCACTAATTAAAATATATACATTTATGTCTCCTTGTATAATTTAATTACTACCTACATTTATTTATTTAGCATTTATTTATTTCTGTATTTATTTCTGACTGTGTCAGGATCGGTCCTCCATAGCGGGGTGGGAGAGTTATCAAGCACGTAAAGTTTGGTTCAGATGTGAGCATGTACACTGAAGTTACAACAACTTCCTGTGTCATGGCGAAGAGTTGATCTTTGACGCCACGCCACGGACTCACCCATTGATGAAAACTCACAGATAGCACAACTTTTCATCTTCAATGCCTTTAGAAGGCACAGTAGAAATTTAAAGTCGGTCGGACTAAATTCGTAGGAGGAGTTCGTTAAAGTACGGAGTGTGTAAATCATCCAAAATTTGACGGAAAATTCAAAATGGCCGACTTCCTGTGCGTCTGGACAAGATACCCAGATAGCAAAAATCATGCGGCCCAGATCTGGCCCAGATCCTTCATAAGTTCTGGGCCAGATCTGTAAAACGGACCCGGGCCGGTGTCCTTTAGCACAACGGGCCAATGCCGGCGCGGATACTTTTTTCTTTTGAATTTAAAAAGCATGGACAGTCAAAACTACTGTTACAGACTGTTTCTATTTGTCCTACACAGAATTTCAACAAAGAAAGTGATAGAACGGATGAGTGACACATTTTAAAATTTAAAATACACATTTTGTATTTTATTTGAAATGTTTGAGATAAAAAGAGGGGACAAAAACTTAAAACAAAGTAGATAATTGCCAAACTAACAATCAATCTAATAAACACATTTTACAGCTCATTTCTGTCTTTAACAACTGTAGGAACAAGAAACTTCACTCCAGTTGACTTGCAGGTGACAATTAGTTTCTGGTAACTGTACAGTAACCACACACCTAGGTGTTATTTTTAAATGAATGCAGAAGTATTAAACTCTAATAATAGCAACAGTGTGGCTTAGTTAAAAAGCTCAATACATTGACATTGCTATCAGTCTTGCATAGTGTAGTGTACCATTAATAATGATGATGGTAAGAAAGTAAGATTTCTTTCTCCCTGAGAAACATATAAAGCTAAAGCCAGGAGACACACGAGATTCTACGGCCTAAACACACAAGATAACGTTTTAATTAGCGACAAGCAATAAGTTTGTCTTGATAGATGATTACTGCCAGCCATTTAGATTTTAACCATTTTCCATGACCCTGGTATAAATAACAAATATTTTATAGCCAAAATACAACATCCAACTCCAACTAGTCATGTGAAACCCTGAAAAAAATGTAAAATGTTCATACACATTGTTTGGTGGCTTTACGGGAAACATTGATGAGGCAAGTGGAGAAGTGGGAATGCCATAACCCTCACATGACACCCAACAAATCATCAGTAGTGGAAGAGTGGGGGATGGCCGATGTGTTCATTTCTGCGAAGGACAAAAGAATGGGTGATTACTCAACTGATAATGGCAATCACAAATTACATAAAATCCACAGAGATTAGTCATTTTAAAGGTGGCTGGACTAGACTAGGGCTGGAAGATTTGACCTAAAATCAAAATCCCAATTAAGTGAACATTTTACCGCGATTACAACTAATGAATGATTATTTCGTTTTTTTTGCCCTCCTAGTTCACTGACCAGGTTTGTACCGCAAACATGCTCAACTATTGTAGGTGGGGTGGTTTTTTAGACTCACAAATGTCAAAAAACGATTAAGTAAATGTTAACTGATAAGATAATGTTGAAGTGCACACAACAAACGTACTCCCCCTAAATTTGGCATATCGCCACTGCTCACTGAATGAGTGCCGCTACTAATATTTCACATGATCAATTAATATCAATGTGCATTAATCTCGTATAACAGTGTTGTGTGCATGTGACCAAATGTGAGAGAGTGAGCAGCTGAGCGTGACGGTGAAAGTGAGCGAGGTTATTGTAAGTGTGGCAGTAAATGATCAGTGTGGGTCAAAGTGTGTTCATAAATAAATGCTGCTGGAAAATTAAGGCAGTTGGCACTAGCTAACATCTCCCTGTGCTCCAGACTCTGGGAGCTGAGCAGGACAGGGCGGACTCACTGACTACACACAGTTTTTTAAGGGGAAAGTACATAAACACACACACTGGGGGACATTTTAACAGGAAATAAAACAACTAAATAACTGAAATGGTAAAATTACAGTCGTTAGAGCTCGGAATTTGGGTTTCAATTACTTCAATTAGACGTCCAGCCCTAGAGGGGAGACATCATGAAAAACTCCCCTTTTCTCTCCCCATTTGGGTATCAAACTGTGAAATAAGACAACCCAGACAGATTTTTGTGGTTTGCCTAGACACACAAAACATGTGCTTCAACAAGCCATTCAGATTTGGTTCTCCTTCCTATGTCACATGCAGGCTTATTAGAATATAAGATAAAATAAGATACAACTTTTTAAACCACCGCCTTCCCCATCTGAGTATCCCTACTCAAGGTTAAGTACCATCTTTGCAAAGCAGTGGCATATTTTTCTCGCAAGCCAATCAGAGCAGACTGGGCTTTTTCAGGATGGGGGCTTTAACGAGACAGGTGCTAAAATGGAGCGTTTCAAAAAGAGGGTAAATACAGATTTACCATGGTTAATGCCTCTCTGGCCATGGCACGTTCTTTGCAGCCACCTCCACGGTCAGAGGCCAGGTTGAACCAGCGGATGGCGTGCTGGTTAATTTCGTTGTCCGATGCGCTGCTAGCAGCTTGGTTCTTCCGTACAGCCTCTGTTAAGAGAGAAAGTCAATTAACGGACATTTTGAAAATTACCTGTAAGCCAAGCTAATAACCAACTTTTTTGAGAAATGCTTTAGAGGGTTGAAAAAAGTACTCAATGCCCATGTTTACTATTGTTGGTGTGGCAGTAGACCTAATTTTCTATAGCATTTAATTAATAACTAATTATTAAAAAATCATACTGATTATGAACTGAACAATTATCAAATCACATCTGGATTGTATTGGATCAGCCTTAAATCTCAGTGCATCTTATTACAAATTTATCTGTGTGGATTCTGTATCAGGTCATGGAAAGGCATTGGCGGGTACCAACATTTCCCCAGTATCTCCAGGCAGAGGACATTTAGGGGAATCACGTTTAGTAAAAAAGTAAATAAGTAAAAGCTCTCAATTCAACTCCATGTAAAACATTACAGCAAACAAGCTTCTCGTGCTTTTATTTTGCTGGCAAATCTACAAAGAGGAAGTGATTATGTGAGTAACCGGTGCTGTCATGACTGAGATCTATTTCACCACCGCTATCAAAGTATTTTTTATTTTTTTATATTTTGGCTTTAAAGTTACATCCCTGATATATTAAAATATACTATTTAAATATTTTATTTTACATAAAAATTTGTTCTCATCTACTAGTCACCTCCACATATAATACGTAGACTAAAATACTTACTGTGTTCTCTTCTGAGTTCTTGTTAGCATTACTTTAAAATATTTCTTCTCTTTTCTTTGCTCCTCAACCATATTACCGTGGTGTGATTTCATACAAAGTCAATGAAAAGACACGGAGAGATGCGATTTCCCGCCCATAGACCTTATTTGTCATAAAAAATTTACGTTTTGATTAATGTCAGATGAAAATTCCAACTTCTTTAGATGGCTTTGATTTTTTAAACACTTAACTTACCTATCATAACTTTATAACGTTATGCTTAAATATAGCCAAGATTTGAAAATCAAATCAAAGCCAAAAATACTTACATTAACTTAACTTACCCTATAATCCCGGGCTCTCAGCCAGGGGTGAAGAAAAGATTGAACCTAAAAAGGAGACAGGTGATGTCAATTGGTGCTGTTGGAAACTAACGTTACAACATCGTTGTAAGTTAACTAACGTTAAACAGCATTAATGTTTTATGCTAGCTGCACACAAAATTGTTTATTAATGCTAGCTAGCTTAGCTATCCGTTCATTCAGTTAATTTAGCTAACCCAGCTAAAAAGCTAACGTTAGCCAATGCCTCTTCAACAGTTTTAGCTATTTTAAGAAGTTAAAACCCGGTCAAAACATTCCGATGTGATGATGTTAATGATGTTAACAAGCATTACACCACTATTAAAAACAATCTCACTAAACTGTTTGACTGTAACATCGTTCAACTTACCGTTATAAACTCTTTCCACAAAGCTTCCAGTCCGAACTGATCCAAAGAAAGAAACAGTTTGCGCGCTCGTTCCGACGGCCCCGGGCCAGAACAACTACGATTCCGCTGACTGACTTCTGCTCCGGTATGAACCGGTTCGAAGAAAAAAAAAAGAAACAATTCGTGCGCTCGTTCTGACGAGTCCGGGCCAGAACTATTATGATTCCGCCGACTGATGGATGCTCACGTCCACTCCTGAGTGTACACAAACTACATGCGGGCAGAATCTGGAACTGGGCAGTAAAACAGGCGTGACTGTTACACGGATCTGCCGGTTTGGAGGCGGATCCGGCCCAGAGTAAGCTGCTATCTGGGTACACGCACCACAGAAAATTTGTGCACGTAGATGAAACGTGGGGCGGGGGCTGCTTCGTTAAAGGTCATTTCCTGTTGCCAGAAGGTGGCGCTATGACTGTGGGTGAATGTCGGCATATACATGTGTTCAGGGTGGGACTCTCATCCTACATGTACAGTTTGGTCCAGATGTGAGCATGTACACTGAAGTTACAACAACTTCCTGTTTCATGGCGAATCATCGACGCCACAGACACGCCCATTGACGAAAACTCGCAAATAACACAACTTTTCATCGTCAATGCCTTTAGAAGGCACAGCAGAAATTTGACGTCGATCTGCCTAAATCCCTAGGAGAAGTTCGTTAAAGTACGAAGTGTGTAAATCATCCCAAAATGGCGGTAAAATTCAAAATGGCCAACTTCCTGTTGAGTTTAGGGTATGGGTTCTTGAGGCTTTTTTGTGCGTCTTGATATGATACATGTCCCTAGAAAATTTCGTGCATGTAGGTTGAACGTGAACGAGGGGCTAATGTTTTCCAATTTTCTAGGTGGCGCTAGCGAGTCCTTTTGCCACGCCCATGCGTGAAACCCAGAAAATACAAAAGTCCTGACATGTGTGCAAAGTTTGGTGAGTTTTCGAGTATGCTCAGGTCCCCAAAATGGAGCTTACTTTGCAGAAAAAAGAAAAGAAAAAATATATAATCTTTACAAATTCAATATGGACCTCGCACAGTAGTGCTCGGGCCCTAAAAATATATAATCTTTACAAATTCAATAGGGACCTCGCACGGTCGTGCTCAGGCCCTAAATATAATCTTTACAAATTCAATAGGGACCTCGCACGGTCGTGCTCGGGCCCTAATAATCTTTACAAATTCAATAGGGACCTCGCACGGTCGTGCTTGGGCCCTAAAAATCCGAGCAAAAACAATAGGGTTCCCAGCTCCGCTGGTACTGGGAACCGCGATGCCTTGCAGGTTGATCCTAAAAGTGCTCATGTTAAAGATCATGTTTTGGTAACGAACTAATATCTAACCAGAATTTCAATGTTTCTAAAAACTTCTGCAGATGAATGTGTTTCATACGTGCTTTGATATCTACTGTATGAATGAGGAAATGAAATGCTTCAGGCTCTGCAGAGTCAGAGAGAAACTCAGAGGTTCACAGCATCAGTTTTTCTTCAGAGCATCAGCTTCACAGCGTCAGTTGCCGGAGTTGATGGGTGTGGTGATGGAGCAGTGGATATGACACATGCCTTTGGTGTGAGAGACCCAGGTTAAATTCCCCACTGTGTCCCTGAGCAAGACACTTAACCCCTAGTTGCTCCAGAGGCGTGCGACCTCTGACATACTTGTTTGTAAATGTAAGCTCTGTAAATGAATAAATGTAAATTTTTATTTGATATCGGTCTCTGAAACAGAAGATTTTATTGGACTTTAATATTTGTAACCCACAGAAAATAATCCACATATGTGTACTATGATGCGCAAATATTTCACCATCTACAAATATGTATTCTTACATTTTTCATGTGTAAGATCATATACACAAAAATACAGAGTGACTTCTACACAGAAAACAGTTTTTGCGCATTTGCAGATTGCTTTCTGTCAATTTGCAGGTCACGTTACATTTGTGACCTCCTTTTTATGCATTTGTGGAATTTTGTGCAATCTGTACCACAGAGATCTGTAAACAGAGATCTGTAAGTGTGAGAGCAGTTTATTAGCTACACCAGCAGGTGGCGGTAGCAACATTCAATTCAATTTTTATTTATATAGCGCCAAATCACAACAACAGTTATCTCACAGCGCTTTTCATAAAAGAGCAGGTCTAGACCGTACTCTGTGATGTTATTTACAGAAGCCCAACAGTTCCCACCAAGAGCAAGCACTAGGCGACAGAGGCAAGGAAAAACTTCCTTTTAAGAGGCAGAAACCTCGAGCAGAACCATGGCTCAGGGTGGGCGGCCATCTGCCTCGACCGGTTGGGGTGAGAGAGAGAGAGAGAGAGAGAGATGTAAGGAGAGAGAGAGAGATGTAAGGAGAGAGAGATGTAAGGAGAGAGAGAGGGGAGGGAGGCAGCCTACACAATATACACACAGAGGTACACACAGTGAAGGTAATGTTGCTATAGACTAAATGAAAAATGGTACAGATATTTATAATAGTGTTAATGGTAACCATCGTAATGTTAATGATTATAATAACAATAATAACAATAAGACTAGCAACAATAGTCGTTGCAGCAGAGGGTGTCGAGCAGGAACACAGGGGCAGCAGGTGACCCGCAACCACAGATCCAGACTCCACAGCTCCAGAGCCAGAAAACCTGCAGGAAGTGATAGGAGGAGAGAGGAGAGGGACGAGAAAGCACAAGACTACCAGAAAGGGGAGAAGTTGTGTTAGTAACATACAATAATGGGATAAGGTTGCATACAGAGGGAGAGAAAGTAGAGGAGAGAGGAGCTCAGTGCATCATGGGAAATCCCCCGGCAGTCTAGGCCTATAGCAGCATAACTAAGGGATGGTTCAGGACTCACCTGAGCCAGCCCTAACTATAAGCTTTATCAAAGAGGAAAGTCTTAAGCCTACTCTTAAATGTGGAGATGGTGTCTGCCTCCTGAACCCAAACTGGAACCTGGTTCCACAGGAGAGGAGCTTGATAGCTGAACGCTCTGGCTCCTAGTCTACTTTTGGAGACTCTAGGAACCACAAGTAACCCTGCATTCTGGGAGCGCAGTGCTCTGGTGGGGTAGTAAGGTACTATGAGCTCTTTAAGATAAGATGGTGCCTGACCATTAAGAGCTTTGTAGGTAAGAAGAATGATTTTAAATTCTATTCTGGATTTTACTGGAAGCCAATGCAAAGAAGCTAAAACAGGAGAAAAAAACATTGCCTCCCATGAGTAGACAGGATATCCACTGCATTACCCAACGACATCTGTAGGAGACAACAAGGAGAAGGACTGCAGCCTAGTTTCAGCCAGCTGCTGAAAAATAAAGTTTTCTGCTCATGTTCAAAACATTCTGCACATTCAGAATCTCTCCCATAGTGTTCTCTGACATGTCTAGAGAAAGAATTGCAATATTACGAGACTAATGTCATCATTTAATGAGAATTCATAATATTTTTAATTCTACCTGGCCTCTACTCTGCTGTGCATTACGTTATTGATCCGCTGGTATATAGCCTATCCCCTTTAGACCGTTTGACTGACACAGTTTGGGACTGCATGCTGCATGTGAAACCGAAACCAACCAAAAACACTTATGATCAGGCAGAAATCGCGCCATAAATCCACACTTTAACTTCAGCAGCTCGATAAAGTGCAGCTCACAGTCCAAAACAGCAAGGCTGCGCTTCAGTTTTAAGATGTTTATGTTGCAAAACTCTACCAGTGACATTACTGACTGGACTCACAGCACAAGGTGCACATGGTTAAAATTGCTGGTGTCGCATCAGCTATGCAGAGTTGATTCGCACTGAGTTGAAAACCTTGTCTTGCAGCGCCCCCTGACATTTTGCGCCCTAGGCGACCGCCTATGTCACCTACGCCGGCCGGCCCTGGGTTTGTAAAGTGTTGTATGGTGGAGTGGAGATAAGGTGCATGGTAACCACCATTACATGATGGCGCTGAGTATATATGCCTCATTAGGTGCGCTTTGTTTTTTTTTTGTTTTTGTGTGTTAATTCAGTTTTCGGCTGTGATTCCCAGAGCTCTTTCACCAGGGAGGAGCTCATGACCATCAGGGGAACAACTCCAACGGATTTAATTCCCACTTTTCTTCAGTTTGCTTCATTCACTCTGGTCGGTGTTTACATTCCGCCCTGGGCCAACGTTGAGGATGCACTGCGCATGCTGGCCGACCAGATACTGTGTGTGGAGCAGACAAACCTGGACTCCCTTGTTATTGTTCTCGGTGACTTTACCAGGGGAAATCTCAGCCAAGAACTCCCCAAATACAGACCAACCAGAGAGGGGAACACTTTGGATCACTGCTACACCACAGATAGCAGTGCCTATCACGCCGTCACAGGCGCTCCACTGGGACACTCTGATCACGTGATGGTCCATCTGATTCCTGCTTACAGGCAAAAACTAAAGCTCTGTAAACCTGTAGTGAGGACATCGAAGAAGTGGACTAGTGAAGCTATTGAGGATCTTCAGGCGTGTTTGGACTGCACTGACTGGGATGAAAACGAAGGCTACCAACAATCTGGATGAGTTTACAGAGCCTGTGACGTCCTACATCAGCTTCTGTGAAGACACATGTATACCAACACGCACCAGGGTGAGTTATAACAATGACAAACCCTGGTTTACAGCTAAACTCAGACAGCTAAGGTTGGAAAAGGAGGAGGCATTTAGGAGTGGTGCAGGGCGTTAGAGTACCGGTTTAGCAAGGAGGTGCGAGAAGCTAAATGACTGTACTTGGAGAGATGTCTATGAAGATTCTCAGTCATCCAGGTCATAGTTATCCAACAAAGGTTAAAATGAAGGGCAACTGGACTTGGTTGAAGCTACTGGAAGACGTTTCGTCCCTTATCCAAAGGACTTCTTCAGTTCTGACTGACTGGCAGGGAAACTCAGCTATTTAACCTCAGTGGGATCGTTATCCCGGGTCATCGATACCGCTGGTTCGTTAGTGTTCCTTGTTGCTGTGACGACAGTCGTTACAGTCGTTAAGACTACCTGTGGCCAAGAC